ATCACTACCCACCGGGTGAGGTGTTTAGTCTCTATCATACATGTCGTGTGTGTGTGTGTGTGTGTTGCAGTCCCACGGGTGAGGTCTTTAGTCTCTATCATACGTGTGTGTGTGTGTTGCAGTCCCACGGGTGAGGTGTTTAGTCTCTATCATACGTGTGTGTGTGTGTTGCAGTCCCACGGGTGAGGTATTTAGTCTCTATCATCCGTGTGTGTGTTTGTGTTGCAGTCCCACGGGTGAGGTGTTTAGTCTCTATCATCCGTGTGTGTGTTTGTGTTGCAGTCCCACGGGTGAGGTGCTAGGCAACAAGAGTGACTTCAGGCTGAATACGTGTAGCGTGCATCATCAGGGAATCATGCTACTCGACGTGACACACCTGCGCCTTATCGAGACCAAGCCGGAAGAACCAAACCCCGGCGATCTCTTCTCAAACACAAGTAAGCATCCAGGGGTAGAACAAGTCATAACGGAACTAGACCAACTAATTTCTGCAAAATTATAAACACGTACTGTCTACAAACTGAGTAAGGATTATAAACCTCGCGCGATCGGCCGCTACCGAGAGTATTCTATCTTCACGCTTTGTAGTCTGGTTTAATAAAGTCATTTCAACATTATATAACATTTATAAAGTAACTAAAAAGATAACATTTTAAATTAAAGTGTTAGCATATTATACACTACAAAAATAATTATATTAAGAATGCGAGAGTGTTTTGGATTTTGCGAGTTGAAATTTGACCCATTCGCAAAAAATGTTGACAACTTGTTACTTTTAAAATGCCTGGATATGGGATGTTGGATTTTGATAGTCATCACAACAGATTATATGTCACTCGCACAAAAATGCAAGTGCATATATTTTCTACTCGCAATTTCGGAAATCCACTCGCATTTTGCGAGTGTGCGAGCGTCAATTTCAAACCCTGGCATCCATAGTAGCGTCTCGCAGGTGTTCGGTGACGTGTATACTGTCACCGTGTACTTGTTGTGCGAGGAAGTGGGACCGGTCTTAATTAAAAGTTCTAGTACTGTTGTTCTCGCTATGATTTCTATAATTATTGGTTTCCGTCCATTGTTACTCTAGGGTTGTTACTGTGTTAGTACTTGTTACTTGTTAATAGAGAAATTGCTAAATGTAGGTTATGATAAATAGATAATTTTTATGTTAGTCACTTTAGTGTCACACATGATGGCATACAACATGTTTGTGGTGCCATCTAGTTGCAGATAACACAGTTAGACTGGCATGTGAGGCGGGAGGCACTGACGATCTAGACATGAAGAATGCAAGCGACGGTAAGTGAATTAATTAACAGTCTTGTTTTGTCCGACATTCGTGCCAATGGGAGGGCCGTCAGGAGCACATCTATTGAACTCTGAAGCTTGAATAAAAAAATATGCACCTGGTGATCATCATATGGTCATCACAGGCAGTACAAAAACCATTGTAATGTTGGATATTCAAAGACGTGACATAGTACATGTAGAACCTATTTTTAACTTTGACTCATAGGTGGCGCAACCATGGTGGGCGACTGCAACGATGACCTTTTTGACGACGACGACCCAATGGTTGGCATCTTACGAGACGATGAACAAGTGACCGTGAAGGTGGAGCCACCGGTGCAGGTAATGAGCGTTCAGGTGTTTGATCTAGGGAGAGCCACCCGTGCAGGTAATGAGCGTTCAGGTGTTTGATCTAGGGAGAGCCACCCGTGCAGGTAATGAGCGTTCAGGTGTTTGATCTAGGGAGAGCCACCGGTGCTGGCGGTAAATGTTTGTTCATCTGTTCGATTTTAACTGTATAGGTAGCCACCGGTGCAGGTACTGAGAATTTGCGTATCTTCTATAGTCAAAATCTGTAGGAATTCCTATGAACATTGCATCAGCAAGCAAGACACGGGTTACTGTTACGCTGTATATTTCGCGGAGGTTAAATTTTCGCGAATTTTGTGAACGCTAGCCCTACCACGAAAATAACAACACGCAAATAATCCATACCGAATAATTCATAAGTCACCGACCGCGAAATTAACCACTTTCGAAATTGTCCATTAAGTCTGAATTCGCGAAAATATCTGTACGCAAAAAATATGGCGTATCCAGTAGTTCAGTGCTCGACACAGCCGGTCGCCCGGACGCCAATGGCAACCGCATAACAATAAGTTCATATATCGCAGGTGTTATCGTGGGGAGTGAGGGCACGACCAGTGACATCTGACACACACATAATCAAAGCTGTTAATTGAATTCGTCACTTTTCTTTACGTAGAAAGTGGACTATTTTAATTCAGTTAGATATCTAGAAGCAATGTAAACTGTATATACTTCAAGATTCTAGGCACTTGTAACTTTGCGGATGTGCGGCAGCATTGATCTATGCATGGGGGTACCAATGACTGGGGAGGAGAAAAACGAAAGTAAAACCTTTCCCAGAAGCTCCCCGACATTCCTAGAGCTTGAAATATATTATTTGACCAACTCTATGTTACATGTATGCTGTTAATGCCAATGGTTATTTTTATATACCATTTTGTTACTCACTGCTAGTAAATAAGCGGCTTTCTGAAGTTGGTGGTCCTGCTGTCCACTAGATTTCCAGCCAAAATTCGAATGTGACCAATGTGACAAGTCTGTAGGGCCTAAAGTCATGTACCGTTGTACGTCATGGTAGAAATACCAATGGAAAATTGGGCTACCACTTTTCATTTTGGGCCAGAAGAAATAAATTTCTGGTGGCCAAAAAAAAAATATTTTGGGCCAGCCTTCTGTTGGCCCAGTTGTCAAGCACTGTAGTTAGTCATCTCTCTGCCAGTGGATGAACTAGTGAGTACTGAGTAGTATCAGTCAAATATGTGCCATTTCTCTGTGTTTCAAAAACGAATTGTACGGAGAGGTGGTGCCGTGTGTCGTGGCTTTTTCACAATATATTACTATGTGGCTTTTGTTGCAGACACGACAGCTGCGGGATAGATGTTCTCTGAGAAAGCAAGTACAGGCCACACCGCCAAAGCCAGTATGTACAGTTCATATGCGAACCATACATAGAAACGTGTGCATGCGTGCGTGTGTGTGTGTACGTGTGTCCGTGCGTGCGTACGTGTGCGTGCGTGTGTGTGTGTAC